ACAGGTGCTGACGGGGCTGCTCCCCGAGACTCACTGGCTGGACGTCCACGTCCATGGTGGGGGCGCGTGACCGGCGGCTGGAGATGAGCCTCGTCCTGTGGGCTCCACGGACAGGGAGGCCTGGGAGGGTGACCAGCCGCACCTCCCAGCCATCGCTGCCCCGTCCCACCGCCCGTGGGAGAACCCAAGCCCAGATTCAGGGGATTAGGTGCCACGTTCCCGCGAGAATCCCATGGGAATGCCGCCAGCCCTGCCCCGCCCTCAGCCAGGCAGGTGTGGGCAGGCGTCTACGAGCAAAGGCCGAAGGAGCCCCCACCCCAGGTAAACCTCCCTTCTCTTCATGGGAAATGCCAGGCCGACACCCAGAGGGGCGTCTGTCCAAGGTCACTCTCATGGCCACCGCCGACAGGGCGGGAGGTCAGAGACGGCGACGGGTGCCCTCCCTGCAGGGCGGACACCACAGGCTGCAGGGCAACGCGGGGCCTGTGTCCAAGGGTCCCTGGCCGGTCTGCAGGGTGAGGACAGTGCCCGCCCCGCCCTCTGCCCCTCGCAGCCTGGGCTGCACTGGGAGGGGACAAGCAGCACCCACTGCAGGGCCTTCCCAAACCCGACAGGTGCCTCCTTCCGGCCTCAGGGCGCCCAGCAACACACACACACACACACACACACACACGCACACACACACGCAGTGCCCGGCCGGCGTGGCTCAGGGGCTGAGCGTGAACCTATGAACCAGGAGGTCACAGTTCGGTTCCTGGTCAAGGCACAGGCCTGGGTTTTGGGCTCCATCCCCAGTGTGGGGTGTGCAGGAGGCAGCCGGTCCATGATTCTCTCATCATTTTTGTGTTTTTGTTAATCCTCACCGAGGATATTTTTCCCCTGATCTTTTTTTTTTTTTTTAGAGAGAGTGGAAGAGAGAGGGAAAGACAGAGAGAAACATCAATTCGAGAGAGACACATGGGCTGGTTGCCTCCTGCACACGCCCAACCAAGGCTGACCTGCGACCGAGGCACGTGCCCTTGACCGGAATCGAACCCGGGACCTTTCAGTCCACAGACCAACGCTTTAGCTCTGTCCACGGAGCCAAACTGGCTAGGGCTCATCATTGAGGTTTCTCTCTCTCTCCCTCTCCCTTCCTTTCTGAAATCCATAAAAACGTATTAAAAGAAAACACCGCATAGGCCTTGGGGTCCCCTGTCCGAGTGCTGCAGCCAACGCCTCGCTGTGCTTGAGCCAAGACCTCACTTGGTCCTCAGGTCGCAGTTAGGAAGGCGGGGCCTTTAGAGAGAGTGGAAGAGAGAGGGAAAGACAGAGAGAAACATCGATGCGAGAGAAACACGTCGGCTGGTTGCCTCCTGCACCCGACCGGGGCCTGGGCCGGGAGGAGCCTGCAACTCAGGTCCGTGCCCTTGACTGGACTCGAACCTGGGACCCTTTGGTCTGCAGGCTGATGCTCTGTCCACGGAGCCAAACTGGCTAGGGCTCATCATTGAGGTTTCTCTCTCTCTCCCT